GCTTTTTCTGCTTATGTGGTGCTGAGGAATCGAACCCAGGGCCTCATGCATGTGAGGCAAGCACTCTAGTACTGAGGCAATTTCCCAGCCCTTTGCTTTGTTATTGAGGGCTGGGGATATGACTCAAGTGGTAGAGCACCTGCTTAGCAAGTTCAAGACGCTAGGTTTAGACCTCAGTACCACTGGTATTCTAGAGTCTGGTACCTTTGCTTAGGGCCAGCCTCAAACCACATAGTATAGCTTCCTGTGTAGCTGAGATGACAGGTGCATGACACCATAACTGGCTTATTGACTGACATGGAATCTCCTTAAGTTTTTGCCTGGACTTCCCTTGAACCAGGATCCCAAGCTTCACCTCTTAGGTTTTCTGTATTATGGGCATAGACCTGACTCTTAACTAGCTAGCTGATCTGGCTATGTCCCTGGTAAAGTCCATACCTGGTTTTATGAGTTCTACAAATCTCTACTAGAAGTTACTGCTTCTTTCTTTGGCCTTTGGAGAAGCTAAGATTATAGGCATCAGCCACCAGTGTCTAACTGAGAAAAAAAAATTTTTTTAATAGTACCCTACTTGTTATTACTTTAACTTTCTGATAAAAGTTTAATAATCAGATTGAGAATATAAATAATAATGATAGAATTTCAAAATAATAAAATTAGCCCAGTGCCAGTGGCTCCTATCTATAATCCTACTTCTCAAGAGGTCTGAGGATTGGGGTTTCAAGCAAGCCCAGGCAGACAAATCCAAGAGATTCTTATGTCCAAGTAATCAGCACAGTAAGTGTGTCGCTCAAGTGATAGACCACCAGCCTTGAGGGAAAAATGCTAAACAAGTAGGATTTGAAGCCCTGAGTTCAAGCCTTAGTACCAACACAAGACAATAGTAACAATAATATATAATAACCACAATAATAAATAATATTAGAGGCTGGGAGTGTGGCTTAGTGGTAGAGTGCTTGCCTAGCATGCATGAAGCCCTGGGTCTGATTCCTTAGTAACACATAAACAGAAAAAGCTTCAAGTAGCACCATGGCTCCAGTGGCCTTGAACAAAAGAAGCTCAGGGACAGAGCCCAAGCCCTGAGTTCAAGTCCCAGGACTGGCCTAAATAAATAAATAATATTAGAATATATATCTTTAAAACTCACTAATTTTTAGAGAGATAAAGTTGAGCAGGGTGATGATACACACCTGTAATCCTTGCACTCAAGAGGGTAGGAGGGTTGTTTGAGGCCACCCAAGGCTACATAATGAAACACTGTCTCAAAATAAATAAAACTGATATTCTTTTTTTTTTTTTCTTCTTGTTGGTCATGGGGCTTGAACTCTGGGCTTAGGTATTGTCCTGGCGTTCTTCAGCTCAAGGCTTGCGCTCTGCCACTTGAACCACAGCTCCACTTCCAGTTTCCTGGTGGTTATTTGGAGATAAGAGTCTCATGGACTTTCCTGCCGAGGCTGGCTTTGAATCACAATCCTCAGAGCTCAGCCTCCTGAGAACTAATATTACAGGGTGTGCCTGGCTCAAAGCTGATATTCTTTTAAAAAATAAATGGTTATATTATGCAGAATATTATGCACAGTGATATACCATGAAGCTTTCAGTTGTTGGTAATGGACTACATTCATGCAATTTGTTTTGGGGGCCTAAAGCTTGCTGTCCATCATACATTTGGTACTTTAGCTTTCTTTTTTGTTGTTGTTATTGTTGGTCATGAAGCTTGAACTCTGGGCCTGGGTGCTGTCCTTCAGCTCTTCAGCTCAAGTTGAGTGCTCTACCACTTGAGCCACAGCACCACTTCCAGTTTTCTGAGTGATTTATTGGAGATAAGAGTGTCATAGACTTTCCTGCCTGGGCTGGGTTTGAACCGTGATCCTCAGATTTTAGCCTCCTGAGTAGTTAGGATTACAAGCATGAGCCACTGGCGCCCTGAGGTATTTTAGCTTTCTGTAGAATAAAATTAAACTGGCTAATTTTCTTCTGTACAGTAGAAAATTACTGTACATTCTGATATATACCTAGATTTACTTATTTATAAAGTTGTTTCTTAAAAGAATGTATATATAATCTGTAACAGTTTGTTTTATTTATTTTAGCTGAAAACTATAGAAACTTTATTGGGTAGTACAACCAAGATCAGAGATGTGATTGTCCTTGGAATGATAACCCAGTTGAAAGAGGTGAGTTAAACTTAAATGCAGCAGACTTGTATTTGGACAGGTGATGTATTGGTACCATAGAACATTTCTGCAGTGAGTATGGAAACATTCTTTTTTTTTTTGGGTCCGGTTGTGGGGCCTGAACTCTGGGCCTGGGCGCTGTCCCTCAGCTCTTCAGCTCAAGGCGAGCGTTCTACCCCTTGAGCCACAGCACCACTTCCAGCTTTTTTCTTTTTGCTTATGTGGTGCTGAGGAATCGAACCCAGGGCCTCAGGCATGCAAGGCAAGCGCTCTACCACTGAGCCACCTTCCCAGCCCTGGAAACATATTCTTTGAAAATTCTCACTTCAGTAACTTTCCATCTGTGTTGGCCTTTCTGCGTAGACATCAGGAAGGAGTGTGTTATCCAGCCATGCTGTTTGAATAGGCTGAAATTAAGTCACAATAACCCATGGTTGAAGGAAGTACTGGGTTCTATACAGCAGCTGCAACGTGCAGCCTGGCGTCTTGGAGATGCAACTGTTTCTCCTAGAAGTTTAGCAACTGCTGAGGCTTCATAGTGTGCAGCTCGGGTCTCTCTTGCCACCTCTGGATCTGCCAGTGTCATTCCTCAGAGTATCTGTGAGAGATTGAGTCTCACTTAAATGTTAGTTGAAGCTCACCAAACTAAAAAAGGGATGATGTTTACAAATGTCTTGTTCTCTCTAGTCAGTTGTCAGCTTGTTATTATTTTTATTATCTCCTCATACTGTTTGTTTTTATGTAAATATGACTAAATTTCACTTAATTCTGTTTTAGGGGAAATTTTTTCTGGAAGATCCTACTGGAACAGTACAACTAGATCTTAGTAAAGCTATATCCTTTACCTACTCAAAGATATGTTACAAAAGAAGAAAAAAAAGTATTACTGGGATGGAAATTTAACACATATGAACCTTTGGGTTTATACCATACACACACACACACACACACATACACACACACAAAACTATGTTACATAAATTGGAGAAAATGAAAATCTATTAATTTTCAAATTTACCTGTTTGGGTTCCCATTGTAATTTCCAAAAGGTAATCACCTAGGAATATAAAGACAGAATCCTAAATAGAAAAAAAAATCGACTTTAATTCTTTCTAATTTCATAAATCCACATAAGTCATTGAAGAGGTCATTAACATGATAAGAATAATCTACACTTGGCTGGGCGCTGGTGGCTCACGCCTGTAATCCTAGCTACTCAGGAGGCTGAGATCTGAGGATCG